CCCCCCGCTCCCCTTCCCTCGTCCTTTTCCCGTTCCCCCCGCTCCCATCTCCCCTTTTCCCTTTCCTTTTTCTCCTCTCCCCTCTCCCCTCTCCCCTCTCCCCTCTCCCCTCTCCGCCCCACCGCACCCCCCCCACTTCCCCGGTCTCTGCCGTTGATTTCTCTCTGGTCTCTCTCTCTCTCTGATCACACTCCGCACTCTCCTGGTTCCCCTCTCTCCCTGATTTCTCTCTTTGATTTTTTTTATTTCTCTCACCTCTCTCTGGTTTCTCTCTCTGAGATTTCTCTCCGGTTTTTCTTTCTCTGCCTCTCAGTCCCGCTCGCGCCTCTAACAGAAAAAACACCTCAGCGCCATAACCGCCCGGTCACCTGACCAACCGAGTTCCAATCCGAGGCGCTGTTACTGCCGCCGTCACACCCAGCCCTGACACCCGCGCTCATTGGTGCATCGGCGCGTAGCTTCGGCCAATTAGACAGTGCCTACTGGGAAGTGTCGCAAAGTGGCGCACGGCGTGTCTTGCAACCTGCCGGGAGTTGTAGTGTGGCTTCGCCTAATATTGAATTAAAACTGAGAGTGAACAGGGACTATAAGCTGTACAGAGAGAGGGGTGGGCAGAAAGCTCAACCACTAGACAAAATAAGCGGGCACTGTGCGCCACGTCTGATGGGAAATGTAGTTTGGGAGGAGTGAAAGCCATTTCCGTTTCCGGGTCTCATCCAATCGAAGTCTGCCCCGTGAGGCGGGGACCAATCAGAAGGCGGTGGGGGCACGTGACCGCGACTGGCTGCGCCCTCTGGGAGATGTAGTACTACCGTAAAGTGATCACGTGGGGGCTGCAGGGCCTCATGGGAAATGGAGTTCCCGCTGACACGGAATTAACCCTCAACCGGAGCCGATGCTGTAGGCCCGGCCCGGCCCGGCCCGGCCCAGGGTGGTGTGGAGGCAGTGTCCCGCGGCCGGGGCTCACTCTCCAGCTTCAGACCGTGCTGTGGCCTGTCGGCCATGATTGGATAAGGTTGTGTGGTTAGATGGGCTGAATGGCCTCTGTCTCCATTCCCCCCCCACCCCAGGCCTCTAACGAGCCTCAAGGACTCTGCTCCCACCGCCCTTCAGGGACCGAGTTCCAGAAACTCTCAGTCCCCACAGAATAGACCGTGCCTCATGTCTGCTATAAACCGGAAAACCCCTCATTTCTAAAAACTTGACCCCGGGCATCAAACTGTTCAGAAAATTAACATCCTTCTGTTTATGATCTAAGTTTTTAAAAGTTGGAAGAACTGTCTCTTTTAAATAGTGACAACGTCTTTCCAATTTCAAAATAAAACAGTCCAAAGCTATTGACAGCATAGATATATGCTGAATGTTATATGAAATTACAGCTCTTAAAGCACACACTAACAAGGTTGGGTGAACTGATCGGTTTATTTTGAAATTTACTTTTGCTAAATTAATGCCAAAGCAGAGGGAAACGCGTCTGATGTGACAAGAACAGGAGAAGGTCATTCAGCCCATTGATCCTACCCTGCCATTCAATATGATGGTGGCTGATCTAAGACTTCAATGCCTTTTACCCATGACGTTGATGCACCATTAGTAATCAGAAATCTCTAATTTAAAACAACACAAAGACTGAGTTTCCACCACCCTCTATGGCAAAGAACTCCAAAGTTTCAAAATCCTCTGAGTAAAAGATTTCTAGTCTCATATGTGCTTTTTTTTTTGTAAATTGTGCCCCTGATTCTAGACTCCTCAAACAAAGGTGACATCTTACCTGCACCTACCCTGCCTAATCCTTTAGGTATTTTATAGGTTTCAATGAAATCATCTGTCGTTTTTGGAAATCCTAGAGAATACAGGCCCAAGGTTTTGGAGTAGATCTGTAGCTCGGGTTGTGGGTGTTGAGGTTGGTTGGCTTGCCGAGCTGGTTTGTTGTTCCGCAGATGTTTCGTTAACGTGCTGGGTAACATCCTCAGTGCTGCCTCTGATGAAGCGTCAGTGTGTTTTCCCACCTGATTATTACAGGCCCGGTTTACCCAATCTCTCACCATCAGACAGTCCCACCATCTCAGAACCATTCCTTCTGAGGCAGTAGTACCTTCCCTGAGATAAGGAGACCCAAACTGCGCACAGTTTTCCAGATGCAGTCTAACCAAGCTCCTTAAAATTGAAGTAGGACTTCACTACTCCTGCACTCAAATCCTCTCACAATAAAGCCTAAATTTCCATTAGCCTTCCTAATTATCTGTTACACCTGCATGTTAGCGTTCAGTCATTAATTTAAAAAACATCTTGGTCCTTTTGTGCATCTGCACTTTCTAACCTTTTACCTCACATTTTCAACAATATATTCCATCTGCCATATCCTTGCCCACTCACTGAGCTATCCAAATCCTCCAGAAATAGTAGGGACTGCCGATGCTGGAGAATCTGAGATAACAAGGTGTAGAGCTGAATGAACACAGCAGGCCAAGCAGCATCAGAGGAGCAGGAAAGCTGACGTTTCAGGTCTGGACCCTTTTTTGCAAATCCTTCAGAAGCTGCTTTACAACTTCTTCACAACACACTCTCCCACTCAGATTTGTATCACCTGTAAATTTGGAAACATTACATTTGGTCCTCACCTCTAAATCATTGGTACATGTTGTGGAAAGCTGGGAACGAAGTACTGATCCTTGCGGTACCCCGCTAGTCCCAGCCTGCCAACGTGAAAATGATCCATTTAATCATACTCTCTGTTTTCTGTCTGGTAGCCAATCATCAACCCACACCAGTGCATGTTTATTTCTAACCAGCCTTCTATGGGGGACATTCTCAAAAGCCTTCTGAAAATCTACGTAGACTATGTCCACCAGCTCTCCCTTATCAATGTTGTTAGTAAAGTCCTCAATAAACCCCAACATGGTCATCAAATACAATTTCCCATTTAAAAATTCATGCTGACCCTGTCGCCTAATCAGATCATTATTTTCCATGTGTCTATTTATCTCATTCTTCAGAATAGTTTCTAGCATTTTCCCTGCAACTGATGTAAGGCTAACTGGTCTGTATTCCCTGTTTTCTCTCTCTGTCCCTTCTTAAATAGTGTAGTGTCATTTGCTACCTTACATTTTACAAAAATCATTCCAGAAAGCAGAATTTTGGAAGATAATCACCCAATGCGTTGGCTATTTAAATAGTCACCACCATTGACACTCTGGGCTGTAGATCATCTGGTCCTGGAGATTTATCAACATGCAGCCCCATTAATCTTTCTAGTGCAATCTTCTAAATACCTAATACTAGTTTCTTTAACTTCTCATTCTCCCTAGTCATTGTTTCTCCAACTGTGGGGTATCTCTTGTATCTTTCTCAGTGAAAACAGATAAAGTTAACCCTTTAGCTTCTCAGTCATTTCTCTATTCCCTTTTATAAATTTGCCTGACTCAGCCTTTGATGGACCTGCATTTGCTTTAGCCAAGTTCTCCCATTTTACAAACCTATAGAAGCTTCTTATCATGTTTTTGCTAGATTGGATTCATATTATATTGTCCCTTTCCTTATCCCTGGAAGGAGCTCAACACAGGTTTACAAGAATGATACCTGGATTTCAGGGGTTAAGTTATGAGGAAAGTTTCAACAAATTAGGCCTTTATTCTTTAGAATTTAGAAGGTTAAGGGATGATCTAAGAATTAGGGCAAGGCCATTCAAGAGAGATGTAAGAAAGCACTTCTTTGTGCAAAGAGTAGTGGAGGTTTGGAACTCTTTCTCAAATGCTGCTCAATGTTAATTTAATTGTTAACTTTAAATCTGAGATGTACAGCTTTTAGTAAATAGGGGTATCAAGGGATATGGGCCCAAGGCAGGCATATGGAGGTAGGCCACAGTTCAGCCATGATTTGTTGAATTTTGGAGCAGGTTCGAGGGGCATGGCCTACTCCTGTTCCTATGAGTCTGCTCTGCCATTCAATAATGGCTGATATATTTCTCAACCCTCTTCTCCTGTCTCCTCCCCATAACCCTTGATCCTCTTTACTAATTAAGTCCATAGAATCCCTACAGTGTGGAAACAGGCCCTTTGGCTCAACAAGTCCACACCGAACCTCAGAGCATCCCACCCAGACCCGTCCCCCTATAATCCACCTAATTTACACATCCTTGAACACTACGGGCAATTTAGCATGGCCAATCCACCTAGCCTGCACATCTTTGGACTGTGGAAGGAAACTACAGCACTCAGCGGAAACCCACACAGACATGGGGAGAAGCTGCCGTGTCCCCTTTTGGGATCTGGGGACTTGAACTCCAAGCTCTCTCTGTTCCTCTGCCCCCTCAGAATCTGACCCATTATTGTCTAATCCCTCCGCTTTGTTTACACCTCCCACCTCCTCCAAATACAGCACCTTCCACTTCTTGGGACTGAATTCCTGGAAACGCATGCTGCTGCCAGGCCATTGCAATCTTCCTGCAGTCTCTAGCTTCCTTCCTCATTCAAAGTGGAGAGTTGAGGAAGGTGAGGCTGGAAAGACTGGGACTTCTTTCACTGGAGTGTAAGAGGTTGAGGGGTGACCTTATTAGAAAAGATTTTTATATAACCTTTTTCTAACCTCATATTATATAACCTTACATAGTAATAATAACGAAGAAATAGCTGAGGAACTGAATACATACTTTGGTTCTGTTTTCACAAACGAGGACACACATCAGATACCAGAATTGTTGGAGGATGCAAGATTTAGTGAGTGGGAAATCAATATTAGTAGAGAAATGGTGCTGGGAAAATTGTTAGGATTGAAGGCTGATAAATCCCCAGTGCCTGATAATCTACATCCCAGAGTACTTAAGGAAGTAGCTCTAGAAACAGTGGATGCATTGACGGTCATCTTCCAGGATTCTATAGACTCTGGAACAGTCCCTGTAGATTGGAGGGTGGCTAATGTCACTCCAACATTCAAAAAGGGATGTAGAGAGAAAACGAGGAATTATTGACCAGTGAACTTAACATTGGCAGTGGGGAAAATTCTTGAATCCATTATCAAGGATTTTATAGCAGAGCATTCAGAAAACAGTGGCAGGATCAGACACAGTCAGCATGGATTTATGAAGGGGAAATCATGCTTGACAAATCTGTTGGAATTCGATGAAGATGTAACTAATAGAGTTGACGAGTGGGAGCCAGTCAATGCAGTATACTTGGACTTTCAGAAAGCTTTAGACAAAGTCCCCACATAAGAGACTAATGTGCAAGATTAAAGTGCATGGGATTGGGGAAAGTGTATTGAGGTGGATAGGAAACTGGTTGGCAGAGAGGAAACAAAGAGTAGGAATTAATGGGTCCTTTTCAAATTGGCAGGCAGTAACTAATGGGGTACCACAGGGATTGGTGCTGGGACCCCAG